GCCATTTTCCCGTTTAAATCAAAGTAGAAAGAGGTAAATATCAGTCAAAGATACCAATAAAATGATTATGAGTCAATCTATTGGTAATAATGACCGTCTGTCTTTATCATTCAATATCCACAGTCATACAACTCAAGCACAACATGATGACAAGAGAGAAAAATACATGTAGGCCTATCTTATTGTAATGATCTGTAAGCTGTTTTAGACACTGTTCTTCAAACAGGCCTCAGCACAGCAGCCAGGCTCTTTAGTGATTTCTCAAATCTGTGATTTTCTGCTTTGGACACTAGAGAGCAATGATGTGTTTGTGCTACATTTGACAACATATTCAGAACATCATACTGTGTGTGTGTGTGATACAGTAATCACCGTGCAATGGAATTGATATCCATTTCAATTTCCTCAAATGAAAATATGAACAATTTCCATATGTTTCTGGATGCTATGATATTGGGGAACCACAAAATCAGAAAATAAATAAAGAAATAAAAGGTTATACACCACAATAACACCAAAAGATTTAATACAAACAGTGAAAACATAAAAGAGAGACAGCCTACCAGAAAAACACAAAGCACTAGTCAGTGTCCATTATTCAGCTCTATCATCAGTTCAAGTAGATTTGATCACCGTTTTTTGGGCACATTTTCATACACAGCGTCCGACTTTGATATCTGCAAGGAAACACAAACTCAGTCAGGAATCTGAAACTAGTAATATAATTTTTCTTCAAATTCTCTGGAGTGGAAATTAACTGCAGATCAAGCCCTCTATGTTGAGCAGAATTTTTTTTATTTTATAATTGACTTAATTGAATATTTCTGAATGTCACGATTATTTCACAATGCACAACTGTATAGCATCAACAAAGAAGCACAAGAAGAGCATCTAGAGGAAACTGATGGATTTGATGTGTGTATTTAAATCTAGATATTTATTAGTTAGTGTTGCTAATCTGCAGACGGATCAGTGTTTGCACCTCTATTGTTACCACAAGCACTTAGCTCTGTTGCAACGCTGTCCCTTATCGGTGAAAATCTGTAACTCATTCAAATGAATGACGTCCTATCACTTCACTGATAATCACTATGAAGACAAGTTTCTCATCAAGTCTTTTCAACCACAGCAAACACATAAGTCTCTCATTTTATCTCACGATGGATAAAATCATGTATGACCATAGTGTTTTATCTCATAGTAATGTGTATGACCAAAGTAAAATAATAAATGAATTACTTAAAAAGGGAAAGAAAACTCGTTGTGGTAGGCAGAATGCTGGGGACTGACAATCACCTTATGTTAAAAAGATGCATTGAATGTGAATGTACATGACAGAGGAACTTTCTGTTAATACATTTAAATTCATGCTAATTAACTTTTTTAGGTCTGCAAAAATGAAAATAGCCCTGCAAAATGGATTTACTGTATATTAATATTTACAATAAGGTGCAAACAGTAAACGCACTTAATGTAAACTGGTTAAAACATGCTTAAAACTGCTCAAACCCACATCTGTTCACTGACCTTCTGATGCACGTTACACACAAAACTTCTAACAGCTGCTTCAATCACACTAACAGACCGCATCACATCTTCTTGCAACACAGTCATGAATGATTTTACCTTTTTTCGTGTTGTTGGTTTTCTCAACGCTGAATCAGTTCTGTCTTCATTCCAGGTCTCAGCTGCATTATAGCATTGAAAAACAACAAAGATTGCGTACTTATATAGTAATATGTATATCTGATTCAAATGAACTGATGGTAGTTAATATTTGTTGCTCAATTGAATTCCTGACCTGTTTTTCTACATTTCCTGCAGATGCAGCACATCATGACTGCAGCTACAATCAATGATCCAGCAGCAGAAATCAACACTATGTAAAATAAGGGTAGGCCTTGATCTGTAATGGACAAAATAATTCTGTCAGTCTGATCTCAAACAAGACTGAGACCTCAGTTATCGTTTTTTTTAAATGAAAAACAGAGATCAGCTCGGTAAATAATCATTAACATCACTGCTGACTTACCTTGACAGAGTTTGCTGATGTTCAGGTGTTGAGTCTGGTTGCTGATGGGATTGTTGAGCACACAGCTGTAGGTGTTTTTATCCTGATATTCCACCTCCAGAACAATATTTTCGGTGTAGTATGTCCACAGTCAGTGAGTGTTTCTGTGATCTCAAACTATAAAATGATTAAACGTTTCAGTATGTAAATAGCTAAAGGAATATTCAGTACAGCTCAATCTTAAGCATCTGAGGTCTAATGCTTATTAAAACCACAAACATTTATTTTCAGAATATAAAAGCAAAAATGTTTGACATAAACTTACACTTACAGTGTAAGTAAATGTGTCCTATCCATAAATGTGAAATGCTCAAAGTTTTAATAGTGCATCTGCGATACTTAAACAATTTTCATGCTATCATGATTTTAGTCTGAAAAATCACTTAACTAACCTACTTAACTAACCTTTTCTGTGTAAAGTCAAGTTGACCATAAAATACTAAAACGACTGTAAAAGTGCTTTAAAGGGGACATTGGATGCCCATTTTCCACAAGTTGGTATGATTCTTTAGGGTCTTCATGAAATGTCTGTAACATACTTTGGTTAAAAACCACTCTGTTTAAAACAGCTCTGTTCACAGCAGCCTGTTTTGGTGCATGTCTCTTTAAATGATAATTAGCTACTGTTTGCCCTGCCCCTCTCCACTGTGGCCTGTGTTGACCAGTCTATGGGCGAATTCCAAACGGAAGTGAGTATGCCTATGCCCTACTCCCTTCGAATTGTGTTCTTTGAAGGGTGTAGGGCATTACTGTCTTGTTTAAGCATATGGAACTCCCTTGGCCAAGGGAATGACTGACCAAATTTTACCTTGACAACTCTGCGCGTGCGTACAGCATTCAGCGCTCCATCAGCTGTTGCAAATAAATATTTCGTATTATTTTTATTTTATTCAAATATGATCTAATTGTGTCTTATTACTATTAAACTTTTTTAAGCTAAACTTGCTTAAACCTGCTTTAACTACCATCTTAATTCATATTTATATCACTGACGAAAAATGTTTTGTATTACATTAAAATAAAGACAGTTTTAATTAGCCTATTCTACTTACGTTTGTATGTGAAGTCGAAATCAACTACAACTTTGCTTTAAAAGCAAGATCTCCTAACCGAAGATCACATGATCACAAACGGAAATCACTTCCGTGAAGTGACCATCGCATGTTCTCTTTGCTAACGGACTTCTGGAAGGGCCTTTTGTGAAGGGATTCAGTTGTTCACTTTCGTTTGGAACATCCCTACAAATGGCATCTCATTCCTGAAGTGTCCATCAAGGGCGCAAAAAAGCCATTTGGAATTTGCCCTATGGTGTTGAAACAAGACAAGTGAACAGATTCTGTATATGGCTCTGAGGAGTTCTTATTTAAATAGCTAGCTATCTACATAGAAACCGGCTGCAAATTGAAACATCTCTCTGAATGACAGTGTTTCAGACTCAGACGGCCCATAACGAACTGGCTTCTGGGTCAAAAACCTCTGTCAGATGCCACAAATGGTGCTAATATGCACTCACAATGTAATGTAATGCCATGGCCTACTATTTAAAATCATTATCATAACCTTTATCTCCAATGGCCAGACAGTGACTCATCTTTTGTAAATCGTTAAAATATTCAGGTCTGGGACACCGTGAGAATGCTTAACTTAAATGTGTGATATAAATAAATAGTGCTCATAAACGGCTGTTGAGATAGTATTTTCAAGTGAAACAAGTAGAGACTTAGACCTGGAAACAGTATTTTTGCATCACAACTTTACAAGCGGACTACATATAACCTTCACAGTGTCAGCTTTTTAATAATTAAAAAGTTGACCCTGTTAACTACCATGTAAGTGCCTCGCCATAATCTTGTAATCAACCTTATGCCACAAGTGCTGTCAAATAAGCAAGAATTATATTAAACCCAATATATATATATATTTTTAGTAAAACAAGACTCACCATAGATGGAAACACTGAATGTTTTTGATAACAACTTATCTCCACTTATCTGTAGTTTATAGTGTCCAGCATGTTCAATTATGACGTCTGTGATGGTCAGAGATTCAGTCTGATTGTCCAGCTTCAGTCTGTTTCTGAATCTCCCATCAAGAACATCAAATGTGGAGAAGATTTGGTCCTCTCTACTGATTTCAGCTATGAGAGAATCTTCAGCTCCAAATTTCCACAGTATGTCGTCATCTTCATGTATTTCAGTAACATCAGAGTTTAGAGTGACAGAATCTCCCTCCATCACTGACACTGACTCACCAAACACACCTGAGGAACAAACTGGAACAGATTTCACACTTTTGTTGGTTTACAAAGCCTGAAGTCAGTTCTTGTTTCTAAATGTGAACTGAGGAATGTCTCAAATGGCAACAGAAAAGCAAAAGGAAACGCATTGGCAACAGATTAAAGATTGTTGTGTAAACTAATAATTCAGTCTTTAAGGTGTTATCTGCCTGTAACTTCACATTTATTTTGCAGTCGAGTGAAAGGAGAGAAAGTAATTCTGGATATTTCCAGAAGTTTCACTTTAAATCAGGATCACTGAGAGGCAGACCTGAATCTAGAGTAGGCCTCACAATATTATCTGTTTTATTTGATTAATCTAGGTAGAAAAGTCAAATGCAAATCCTCTAACTGAAACTGAAAGAAATTAAATTGCTTTTGTAACTTACCAATCAGACGCCACCAGTACAAGCAGAGCAAAACAAGCATGTGAAACATTTTTCTCAGTAGTTCAGGGTCCGATGTAATAAGACCATCTGCTGAAAACACTCAAGCTGTTCATCTGCTTTATAAATCCTCCCACAACAGGGGTTGACCCACCTAATGTACACGCACACACTCTGCATATGCTGTATAGTCTAGAGTTACATATAAATCTTGCTCTTATTAAGACTTCTAACATTCTTAATTTTGATCATTTAACATTGATGGTTTTAAAAGGAACTGTATCTGTAACAGTAGAAGAGTAGAATATTGTGTGATTATTGGAATAGTCAATCTAAATTTAATGGTAAATAAACTTATTCACCACTAACTGACATGAGTGGCAGTATGGTTGTCTTCTGCTGTAGCTCGTCTGCTTCAAGGTTAAACGTGTTGAACATTCAGAGATGCTCTTCTGCATATCTCAGTTGTAACAAGTGGCTCTTTGATTAGATATGTGCTTTACTGAGCAGCAGAACAAGAGCACCTAATAAAGTGGCAGGTGAGTGTAAGTGCAGTGTATAGTATGTCATTTGGGACATAACTCAGTCAGGTTTTGTTCAATCTGTTCTGCTTATTCTGTGGTTATTATAGCACTTTTTTGATTAATTAAATGCAATTTTATTTACATTTAATTAACTATATATTTATTACCCCAGGGCTGTTGAGTTAGAGAAAACCCCTTATGAAGCCCTGAATGGAAAAGTTTAACAACAGCGCTATCTGCTGCAGTGACTCCGCCGTGGAGTCCCATAATTGAAATAAGGTGAAATAAGGGCCCTTCCTTCCCGGATAAGCGCAGACGGACAAGTTCGACAGTTCTGCGCAGTTCTGTCTCAATAATATTCCTGCGAAACGCGGACGGTGTTCTGAAATACATAATATTCGCATTTCCGAGATAGCCTATTTGGTGTCACTGGGCGGAGTAAACATTAATATTCATGAGTTTTCTGTTTCGTGTTAAAGCGACTCTGAAAATATTAGTGCGTTTTCACTGGATCCCAAAGACTTTCCAACAAGGTATTATGTTTCAGCTTTGAACTCAGTGAATATAATCGTTAGTTTGTGCACAAAATGTTATAATTTGTTTCCTGTGTTATGTTTATTCAATGAGCAGCCACTGATTCGCCAGAGGTATTGTTATGTTATTGTTATATGGAATATGATGACTAAAGTATATGGGAAATAACTAGAACCAGAAGATGGTAGTAATACAACGTTAAGGATGCAAGCTGCCGTTAAACCCCAAAGAAGAAGAAGATAAGCAGAATGACTCCGACTGTAATTTGCTCAGATTCTTCATCAGCTCTTAAAAGTATATTGTCGACAAAAACTGATAGAGAAGACCTGCTAGTAGAAATGTATACAATACTGTACAGACTGAAAATAGAGGGTATAATCGTATACTTTTGTTGGGTACCGGCACATATTGGGATAGTAGGGAATGAAACAGCGGATAAGTTAGCAAAAGAAGCTTTAAAGGGGTCATATGATGCGATTTCAATTTTTCCTTTCTCTTTGGAGTGTTACAAGCTCTTGGTACATAAAGAAGATCTGTAACGTTGCAAAGAGTCTTTGTAAAGTCTCAAATCCAAAGAGATATTCTTTATAAAAGTGAAGAGTCAACCACGCCTACCTAAAACGGCTCGTTCTAACACGCCCCCACATGTCTATGTCACGATGTGGGAAGATTTGCATAACGCCGCCCAAATGTTCACGCAAAGAAAGAAGGCGTAACTTTTATTCTCGCTGTAGTATTGTTGTCACCGCCGTGTCGTGAAGATGCTGTGTGCTTCGTTGTGAAAGCGAAACTACTTTGTTTGGTCTTCCAAAAGAGGACGATATCTGCGTCGTCATGCCTGGAGCTGATCCGTGCTGGTCGCTGAGGAAATACAACAGTATGTGAAGGGCGTAACATTTCCGTCTCACGCTTGAGGTATTCGGCCAATCACATCGCATTGGATAGCTGGCCAATCGCAGCACACCTCGCTTTTTCAGACCGATGAGCTTTGTAAAAATCGATGAGTTTCAGAAAGGCGGGGCATAGAGGAGAAACAATAATGTACAGTATGTGGAAAATAATGTGTGTTTTTTTTTTCTTTAAACCGCATAAACACATTTCATTACACCAAATACACAAAATAATGTTCTTTTTAGCAACATCATATGACCCCTTTAAAGAAAAACTTGGTGGATGTTAAGGTACCTCTGGGAAGGAATGAGATAAAATCAGTAATTGATAGGGAAATAATAAGAATATGGCAACAAAGATGGGAAAATATAGCAGCACAGGTAGGTGGTATTATAATATTGTAAAATCAGTAGGGAAAAAAATAACAGTTTTATGGAAGGCACAGAAAGGAAGAAGTTGACTTCTAGATTAAGGATGGGTCACACAGGACTAAATTCAACACTTGCATTAATGGGGAAGCATGAAAATGGTATGTGTGATGAATGTGATGTTTTTGAAACAGTAGAGCATGTGCTTTTTAAATGTAGTAAATATGAAGATCAGCGTAACCGTCTTTTTAGCAATATAAGGAACCGGCCAGTGAGCGTCGTGGACCTTCTGGGAAAGGGTTTGAGTGATAATCAGATATATAAGGTGGTTTTAACATTTTTAGAGCTCACAGGACTTAATGTTTGAGGATGAGGATCATGATGCTTCTGCCCATCTCGGAGGGTGAGGAGCACAGTGTGGAAGCTGGAGGAGCTGAACATGCAGCGCCAGCTGAAGCATGATCCTCTGGGGTGGGTGGGTTACAATTTTTTTATTTCTTATTGATAGCAATACAGATTTATCACCCATGCGCGCAAGATATACAGTAGGTGGCGGTAATACTCCTAAGGAGTGAACGGCCATGGAACAAAAAGAAGAAGAAGAAGAAGATAAGCAGAATGGCGCCAAAAACAAGTAAGGTAAATGAAACTGAATCTGCTGCCGTATTTTCGTTGTAAAAATGAAGCTTCGATTTATTTTGATCTCAGTGTTCTTATTTTTATTCCTACATGGTAAGATGTTCTGTTACGATCTCTTTTGTAGTCAACAATTACTACGAACGACGAACGGTACGAAATGATTTGGTAGGAGCTTTTATCCGCATGGATAGCTTCTCACGCGTGCTCACGGCTGCAAGAGCCACTGCATCATTCAGTAAATGTTGAAATCTTTTAAATCAGTAACGTATATAAACTGATAATTTGAGTCGAATTGAATACAAGCTTATGCCAAATTTATTTTGTGAATGAACTTCAAACAAAAAGTAGTAGTTTTTGTTATTGTATCAGAATCAGAATCAGAAGAGCTTTATTACCAAGTATGTTTACACAGACAAGGAATTTGACTTGACGACAGGAGCTTCCAGTGTAGAAGAAAGTACAAACATAGTGCAGACATACAGAGGAATAACACAGTAGGGATGGAATATAACACTAATATTAGAAAAAATAAATTAAATAATGTACTATATACAGAAATAGAAGTATAGGGAAAAAAATTATTGTTTAGATAAATGTACAGATATGTTTATTAGTGTGCAGATATGCTATTTACAAAGTGTGTAGTTTAATATAAATATAACTATGTTAGTTGTGAAGGGTGATGTATAATTATGAAAGATTAATTGTTCAGGTTGAACATACATAGCCTGTGGGGAAAAAGTAATACTACTTCGAAAACAGTATACCCACTGTTTTCGAAGTAGTATTTAAAATAAAAGAAAACATTAGGTTGCATAAATGTACAATTATTTGTTCACGGAAAACAGCTATGAGTCAGGATGTGGGTTATATGATGTTCATTAAGTTGCTGAAGATCATTCATGAGACTCATGTAGGGTAGAGTGAAAAACTACTGTTTTCCCCAAAATAACCACAAGATAAAGTCAAGATATAATTTTTTTTTATTGCAACTATAGTCTACGTTTACACGGTTGATGTCAAAAATAAGTGTACACTGGTGATATACCTGAGAGAAAACGGATTTCACAGTAAATTATCTAATTTTCGAAAATTAAATTGTTTTTAATATGAAAACTATGGATATTTGTCTTTCTTGGTTTATAATTGATGTCATTGACACTAAAACTATGATAACTTTTCTAAACACATTTAACTTTTTTCACAGAAAGAAATTACACAGTCCTTAAGGGGGGCGTGTTCCCCCACTCTACCCTATGTTTGATGAGTGAATGTGTGAATCAATGATGTTGTTCTGCTGTTTGTTTGCATGTGTTTCATTATGAATCCAGCCATTTACAAACATTTATTATTATTATATATATATATATATATATTATGTGTGTGTCTGGCAAATAAACTAAACAATTTACTAGCCAATGGCGATTCAATTGCCAAGATGTCCGTAGAGGGTTGTGATCTGTAGAAAAGCATTTTCAAAGCACTTTACTGTTGTATAACTTTGTTTGGCTTAACTGTTAATGTCTTCTCCAGGTGTGTCTGGTGTTGAGAAAGGTAGAGTGTCAGTGTTTGTGAAGGAGGGAGATTCAGTCACTTTACACACTGATGTTAAAACAAACCAACAAGAAGATATTAAATGGTATTTTATTGACATTCGTATAGCTGAAATCACTGGAGATCTCAGTTATATCTGTACAGATGTTCAGTGTAATGAAGGCACTGAGAGATTCAGAGACAGACTGAAGCTGGATCATCAGACTGGATCTCTGACCATCATGAACATCAACCCTACAGACTCTGGGCTTTATGAATTAAAGATCATCAGCATCAGAAACAGCAGTGAACAGACCTCCAGTGTTACTGTTTATGGTGAGTCATTTAATACATTTAATGATTGGGCCCATTTAAAAGATTACAGTGAGTGTGAATGTTTGTTTGAATGAAGATTTAAATAAGGAAATAATACAGAGATACTTGTTGCTTTTTAAAGAGCATGATTAAATCAATTTCAAATCCATAGTTCTTTGATGTTTTGGCATAAATATCCTTCCAGTCATCGGTTGGTTTGTGTTTCAGATGTTCCTGCTGCTGAACGAGATGAAATGAAGGGAAAGTCAGTGAAGGAGGGAGAATCTGTCACTTTAAATCCTGGTGTAGTAAAAAACCCAAATGATTTGATGACGTGGTATTTTAATGACATTTGCATCGCTGAAATCACTGCAGAACCCAGAAAGATCTGTACAGATGTTCAGTGTAATAATGGTACTGAGAGATTCAGAGACAGACTGAAGCTGGACAATCAGACTGGATCTCTGACCATCACAAACACCAGAACTACAGACTCTGGACTTTATAAACTACAGATCAGCAGCAGCAGCTTCAGCATCATAAGGAGCTTCAGTGTTAATGTCACTGGTGTGTATCATTTAGTTTATTTCCCTTGAGCAATTTTAAAATAGTTAAATGTTGTTGTTTTTTTAATCAACCCAGTAATGTTTTTCATTGTGGATTTTTTTTTTTTTCATCGTTTCATTGTGTTTGAAAAAGTGAGCTTAGACTCAGTATCAAATGGAGTGGAACATTTCAGGAAACTTTTCAAAAATCTCTGAAAGTTTCCAAAATTTCTAGAATGTTTCTAAAACTTACCGGAAAATTTCCACCAGTTTGCAACCCTAGTATTAAACTATAATTGAGATCGTCACCTTCATGTAAAGTGACACAGTGCTCTGCGCAAGACTCATGTTAACATTCAAATTAGTCTGTTTTTCTGACAGCTCACAGTAATGTGATGCTGTTTAAGCTGCTGCTCTTCAAAACCCACCAGATCGTATCATTTATGAGTTAAATCAATATCAGCTGATGACTAAAGCAGGAAAAGTGTAAATACTTGAAAAACACATTGGTAAAAATAGTTGCTCTTTAGTAATAATGACTGTTTCTCTTTATCTGTTTCAGATTCAGGTCTGTCTTCAGCTGCTGTAGCAGGAATTTGTGCTGCTGTTGGTGTCCTGCTGCTGATGGCTATTTCTCTTTATTTACTGCACCGTCCAGTAAGCAGGAAAGGTGAGTATTAAATTAAGCAATGGGAAGTCAGATTTTTTCCTGCGAAACTGGTTCTTTCAGACCGTTTGTTTACATAACCTTTTTCAAAAAATTACTCACCAGTTCGTTTACGTCAATATTAGGGGGATATACCAATCATGTTTTTTGCACCCCAGATTTGGGACATTTACCATCCTGATCATGTATGGACATGTATTTTCCTAGTGTTAGGTGCACACTTAAAGTACATTTTAATTATAATGAATCCGATGTATACAGGCCAATGCGCATACTATATATATATATATATATATATATATATATATATATATATATATATATATATATAGATATGTGTGTTTAATTGCAATCATTTGACAGCACTAATATACATACATACACACACATATATAATATATATATATATATATACAATTACTTTGATTAACCAAGTAATATGTGTTTAATTGAGTTTGTTATTGTTGTTCAAACAGACACCAGGACGCAGCACAATGATCAGGTAAGATACTATGAGCGCTGAATCGGTTTGCCTACAAAAAAATCAGAATTAAGATCTGCAAGTTGGCACCATGTTTGTGTGATTTATGCAGTTTGATTCAGAAATCATTACACTGAAACACCAATAATAACTGACATGCGGACAGCGTTTTGCTTACTGTTTTAAGTTATAATAGACAATGGTGTGGATACATTTTATATTATTATATAATTACAATAGTTTATTCGATTATATTATTATCAGGATTGTATTTAATATTTTATTTATTTTATTATAAAAAAAAAAGTGCAAGGGTGCCAATATTTTTGACCACAACTGTATATTACTGAAGTACGGAGGGTGACAGTGTAATTACACTTCATATTTTTTTTTGTGTATGTGAATCGTTTGTCCTGTTCATTTTTTTTAACCTGTGAATCTGTTTTCTTACAGGCGAATGGTGTTAACGATTTGTCGCCTAATCAGAGTGACGTTCCACTGGTGGATGATGCTAATGAGAGGTCCATTAATCACCATTAATCACACTGATGCTCTAGTGACAAACACTACCAATGACCTGTCCTCTAATCACATTGAGATGGAGCCTGCGGCTGCCAGTGAGCTGTAACATTATTCATTATTTTGATACTTTCATGGGAAGTGAAGAGAGGATGGGAAACGAGAGATTTTGTAATTTCCTCGCTTCATCATAAGACAATCTCTTGTTGTTCAGAAAATAGTCTCATCATACCAAGATTTTAGTAGTCAGGACCAATACCAAGTGAAAACTACATTGTAAGATTAATGAATGCCTTGACATACCAGTTATTTTGTTTTGTTTGGGGACATTCACTTATAGCCGCTAGCACTGACTGTTTACATGCTTATATGTTGCTCAGATGGGTGCACAGCTGCAACAAAAAAGAGCATGTACACAAATGTGCTCTTTTCCAAGACCGCTGTAAGTCAAGCAACTGGTATTCAGGTTTAGTCTGTACTACTGATGCTGTAAGTGTTGTTTAATTGATATTGATGTTAAGCATTTTTATTTTTATCTTAATGGCAGCTTGCTGGATAAGATCAACCACCTTTATACTAGAACACCAAACCAGAGTTAACCAGCTTTAAAAAATTATTTACTTCATAGTATAGTTGAAACATTTCACACTAAAAAATGGTATGAGCTATCTAAAAAATTATAAGTAAGAATATTGCACATACTATCTTTGAGTTTTTAAGGCTTGTTTTTTTTAATGTAATCTACCTGAATAAATCATATAAAATCTCCTAAATTATTTAATCTGACAATGAATTTATTAGTATTAGTGAAATGTGCTCATTATTTTAAGTTAATTGTCAAAAGTCTGATTTTGAGTAAGGCCTGTTTGTATTTGACGGAGTTATTTTGTACAACAGACAGCCAGACCGCTCAAATAGGAAAAAACTTGTTACTGCACTAGCATTAGCAAAGCTACTGCTTATTGAACAAAGCATCATGCCTTATAGTAATACATGCAGTTATTCATAACCATGAGCTCTACTCTTCTGTACAATGATAACAACAGAAACTTCAACATAACAGAAACTCTTTCAAATGTCAAACATAACTGAACATTAAACAATAGATGTTTCCCTTTACTCAAAAACACATAAAGTAGCACTTAATTTCTATATTTACTCTCCATATGCAAAGCATGCAGGGAACTAACAATCACCGCTAATAATAAACTGGAAGATTTAGCTAATTCTCTTAAAATAAATAGGTAGCCTTTCTTTACTATTATTATTATATATATATTTTTTTCAGTTTATTCAGTTCCTCAATTCAAGCCCCAAAACTGCTTACATTTCCTTAAAAAAAAAATTAGGAAACTATAAGGCTGGACAATATGGCCAACATTTATATCACAATATATTTCTTAATTTCGGTCAATACAATATAATTCCGATATCGATATGAACACTATTAAAAAAGCCTCATAAAAACGGCCAAGAACGCCCACAACAGATGTCTACCTACAAACTTATGAAAAATTAATTTGCTAAGTCTATGAAACCTCCTCCTATAAAAATATATAATATTTTAGAAAAAAAAATGGCACAAATAAATTAATGTTCACCTTTTATTTGTATTTAGTCTTCATACAAACTGGAAATGTGAAATCACTGTCAAATAAACATCTCAGACTCACCTTATTAATATTAATATCTTTAACTTCAAACTATAGGCTTACATACACTACCAATCAAAAGTTTTTGAACAGTAAGATTTTTAGTGTTTTTTTAAAGAAGCCTCTTCTGTTCACCAAGCCTGCATTTATTTGATCCAAAATATAGCAAAAGCAGTAATATTTTAAAATGTAATTTTCCCTGTGATTTTCAAATCTGAATATTTAGAGTATAGTTTTAGTATAGTTTTTTTTTTTTTCAGGTGTCTTTGATGAATAGAAAGTTCAGAAGAACAGCATTTATCTGATATAGAAATCTTTTGTAACATTAAAAATGTCTTTATCATCACTTTTGATCAATTTAAAGTATCCTTGCTAAATAAAAGTAGTATTTTTTTATAATTAAACAATAAAATTATACTGACTCCAAGCTTTTGAATGGAATAGTGTATAATGCTACAAAAGCTTTTTATTTCACATAAATGCTGATCTTTGGATCTTTCTATTCATCAAAGAATCCTGAAAATATATATATATATATATATATTGATAATCAACCAATCAGCATATTAGAATGATTTCTGAAGGATCATGTGATACTGAAGACTGGAGTAATGATGCTGATGACCGCAATCAATTACATTTCAGAATATATTCAGATAGAAAGCAGTTATTTTAAATGGTAAAAATATTTTATATTTTTGCTGTACTTTGGATCAAATAAATGCAGGCTTGGTGAGCAGAAGAGAATTATTTAAAAAACATTAAATATCTTACTGTTAAAAAACTTTTGACTGGTAGTGTAGGTGGGTTATTCTTATAGATTGAAACAAATGTGCTTTAGCCAGGATTAAGAGAATGAAAAGTGCTCTTGAGTTGCTGCAGAAAACCAAAAAAAAAGAGCAAAAAAAAAAGCATGTTGCTTGAGACAGGCTTATTGAAAATGCAAATTGAATCTCTGCCAGCAGGAGGCGCTTTGAGCTCCGCTCATGAATGCTAGTTTATCAGGTAAAAATGAAAATGCCATTGAAACTTTTCTGAAGACAGTTGGTTCTCATCAGAGATACACTCATATAAAACACCTGTGTTTTGATTTTGAAACGTGCAGTGCTCATGTTTATTCATTTAAGTCAACCCCCACAAATAAATCAATGTATGGGAAACACTGGTAATGTATATCGAAAATGAGTTTAAAAATCATATCACCGTTGTTGAAAAAAAAATAAAAATAATAATAATATATATATATACATATATCACGATACATATTGAAATTGAATTATTGTCCAGCCCTTGGTTTTATTTGTGAAAATTTCTCAATATTTTCTATACAACACTGAACCACAATTTCTTTAATAAAATATACACACTATTTTTAATTATCACCTTAATTTTTTTAAATGAAAATTACAAGACCCAAGGGTTTTAATTTTTGTTTAGTTTTTTTAACAGTGCACTGAGAGTGTTTATGTTCCATGCCTTTATGCATGAATGATGTGGGTTGTGTTTGAATGATGAAATGGCAAATGAAACACCTAATCTTTGATATGTGAAAAAAGGAATCACAGTGAAACAATAACATATGGTCTTTGCGGACAAAATATTTGTGATATTTGATGAACTGCTGCTGATTAGTTTAGCTCACTGGCAAGTTTAAATTTTTTAATTTACATTTTAAATTTTATTGTTTTTGTGTGTATGCATGAAGCATCTGATTTTGTATTTTTGAATATATTTGTACATTTTTATACATTTTATTATACAACTTGAAAGATTTGTGTTTCTTGCAATAAATGTCATTAAACATTTGATTGACTCATAACAGCTGGAATCTGTGAGTTTGTATTCAGAAATAACTGAACTAACTAAATTCCTCTAAATTAGAGGAATCACTGTGTGGCTCTGTGCAATCTGTCATCAACTTTCACCTTTAAAGTATTCATTTTTTAAATCTGTCAATTCCTGGTTTTGACACTAGAGGACGTTCCAGCGGTATATTATCCAGTGTCTCATTTCATAAAAACAAAAATGTTGTATTGCCTACTAATAAACGAACATAAAAAAGTGGTCACATGACCCACAGGGAAAGGAGAAGTAAGAAGGAAAGTGAAGTATTTTCAAAAACTTTGCATAATATTTCATCAAATGTATCAGGAAATTACAAAAAACTGCATGTTGCCTCAAGGCAACATTGTGCCGCGATGGAATCGCATAAGGCCATGCAGGCATACTAGGTTAGAATACAAGTATATGATATTTGTAAGGAAAAGAGTTAGAATGATCTAAATGTAATAGAATTTTTGCATGATTTTGTAATGCATTTGCAAGAATAGTAATTCTCATACTATTTCTGCACATATTATGATTTGTCTGTTGAGAGGAATTGCTTCCTCAGCTTTCACAAGCAATGAGGTGTCATTAGTGAAGTAGGAGATTTTGCATGCATGTGCTTGTGTGTGCATGTGCATGCTTGAAAGGATAAAGTGCATATTAGTATAAGGTTATGATGATTTTTCATTTTTTACTTTGAAACAACACTGATTATAATGTTTTGGTATGGCAACAGATATGATAGTTTAGTTATACTTGTGATCCACGATGGTACAATGTTGCCTGAGAGCAACAGCTGGATATGAAATGTTATTTTTTTATTAGATATGAGATGTGTAATACATTAAAAACTATTTAAATCTGGTTAAAGAAATGTATGTTTTGAATAAATATATTTCTTTTTTCTGCATGGATGGTACAATGTTGCCTGAGAGCAACAGCTGGATATGAAATGTTATTTTTTTATTAAACGTCAGATGTGCAATACATTACGTTTGTTCAAGTGTTTGGTTAAAGAAATTTGTTTTCAATAAATATATTTCTTTTTTCTGCATGAAAATGTCAAATGTTTACATTTGTCCGTTGTGGTACAATGTTGCCCTGAGGCAACACACTTAAAAAATAATAAAAATGTTTATTGATATTGTTAAAGTGTCCAATTTTAAGTATGAAAAACATCACAAATATTTTTTTCTCATTGATATCATATTCCGTACTGTAGAGGGTTCAATTATATATATATATATACACACACACAAAGTATATTCTTTTATTATTTTATTATTATTAAGCATTATTGCTACTTCTCGTTAGTTACTCCCCAAAACTAAAGAAATTTAAACAATGCTGAACATCTGCATGATACCATAAATATCACAACAGTAAATCATATTTTGCATTTTTTTCTTAAAACGACTCCCAGACATTGACAGACAAAAACTATATTTAAAACGACCGTTATTTAAAACGTATGTGAGATTAAGAATAGTTAGAATAAGAATTGTTCGAATTAACTTCTGTTTTTGCTAGAGCTGGTAAAAACTCTTGAAACTAGCAGAGCTTGTCTACAGGGTCACAGCATGAGTTCATAAGATCGTGGATTTATAGTGA